AATGTACTGGACAGCAACAGTCTTTTTTTTTTGCTTCTAATTTACATCTTAGAAAGACTAATCTGGCCAATTCAGAAGTTCCTCATTTAGAGCATTGTAACCAATCCTTTTCTTCTGTTAAATCATGCCATTTTTCTAAGTACCAAGCTAAATTAGGCCCAGAATTCTTTAGCATATAGGCAGCGGGTGTGCCAGATGGTGGGCCGTCAGTTTTACTTTTCTCTTGGTTATTTCCCACTTTAAATTTGGAAAGGGGGAAAGAAAGTGGTTTCAAAACAGCAATATTTTCCAGATTTTCTCTGAGTCACAAAAAGAAACCTAATAAGGAACACCACGGAGTTTGGACAGTGTTTTGCCTGGACCAATGTGTACCTTTGTTGCGCGAGAGTTTGCAGGTAGCAGGCAGCCTAATGCTCTAGCTTGTCTCATGACCATCTTATCCTGTCAAAGGAGTCTTAAGTGCTTGTGATGAGCACTGACGACTGCCCTAATGGCTTTTACTGATCAACCCATGCCCAAATTTTGTGGCTTATAGTGACCCAGAGCTCTTTGAAAATAGAATTACATCTTTAATGTTTCAAACACCCGAATTCCAACTCCAAACTGCAGTTCATCAAAAGAGTCGCTACATATCACTCTTAACCAATCAAGCAAAAATCTAAGAAATTCTCCTTAATCAGAATAACTGGTTTTCAAACAGTATGCCAAACAAAACTTAAGAAAACGTGAGAAAGAGAACAAAAAAAGAAAAAGCAAAGGCTCATTTTCCGAGAGCACTTACCCTGTAGATGTCGAAGGGACATGGAGTGAGAACACGTGGGATCCAAAAGACAGGACTTCTCTTTGCCAGCTTCTGCTCTGCAGTTCAGGTCTCCTCAAGGTTGACTTGACTCGTTGCTTCAGAAAATAACTGCCGCAACTACTCCATTTAGTTTTTCTAGGGTAAAATCACCACAAAGTTACAGTAAAGCAAGAAGAAAGATTTTATTCAGCATATGTTCCAAGAGGCAACGTGGAAAACAGACAAGCATGCTCCTACAGCCATGTCTGCCTGAGTCTGAGGAATGTTATAGAATCATCAGTATATATTGACATTACAAATGTTATTAACAACTTCACATTTTCACAGATTGCCTAAAAATTGATAAATTGATTGACTAAAAACTGCTAAATGATTCTACATTTTGAATTGTCTTTCTTAATAATCGTTGGTACAAATTTCAGTAATGACAGGAGGACCTTCATTGATCCAACAAATCTTAGTATTTACTACATGCTAATAGAAAAAGGGAGCCATGATGGCATAGTGCTTGAGAGCTTGGCTGCTAACCAAAAGGTTAGCAGTTCAAATCCACCAGCTGCTCCTTGGAAACCCTATGGGGGCAGTTCTACGCTGTCCTACAGGGTTGCTATGAGTCAGAATCAACTCAACAGCAAGGGGTACAGGTTTTAATAGAAAAAGATAAGAGTGAAAATACGTGAGTCTTGTGCTGTATCTAAGGATTCGTCTGTGTGAAAGGTTTCCTAAAATATGTTTTCCAAGATTGTCCTAGCTATTGCTTTTTACCTCAGGGCCCAGTTGATGTGTCCTTGTGGGTCCAGCTCCAGCCTGGTCACATTTTTTATACTCAAGGGAATAATGGCTCCAATTTTACCTCCTAAATCGCATGTCATTTCATAGAAGTGAGAACATACAATATATATTTTTTGTGATTGACTTATTTCATTCAACATAATGCCCTCCAGGATCATCCAGGTTCCAAGATGTTTCAGGAACTCATTTTTCATTATCGTTGAGTAGTATTTCATTGTATGTATGTACCACTTTTTATTTATCCATTAATTCATTGATAGGCACGTAGATTGTTTCCATCTTTTTGCTATTGTGAATAGTGCTGCAAAGTACATAGGTGTTCATGTGTCCGTGTCGCTTCTATTAGATCCCTGTGGTATATACCTAGGAGTGGAATTGCTGGGTCATATGGCAGCTCTACCTCTACTTTTTTGAGAAACTACCAGACTGTTTTCCACAATGGCTGTACCATTTTGCATTTCTACCAGCAATAGATGAGGGTTCCAATGTCTCCACATCCCCTCCAACACTTGCTATTTTTCTGTTTTTGTTTTTAATCTGAGCCATGCTAAGTCTTCAATCAGGACTTCAGACCACAGCTAGCTAGTCCGTTAGGGGGAGGTGATAAATTTCCTCAGGGTGGGTACAGGCCAGGTCAGAAAGACTCAACCACATAATACTTCATGATCACCTTGTGGTATTGGCCGACCTCATAGAAGAGGGACTGGAATTTGTATTACATAATGAGTCCCCCAATAAAAACTCTGCACACTGAATCTCCATGATCTTCCTGGTTGGCAAAAACATTTGCTCCCGGGGGGTAGCACAGCTCTTTTTGGGACATGGAAGCTGTATGTTAGGAACCCTCCCAGACCTTGCCCTATGCATCTCTTCTTTATGCTGATCCTGCTTTGTATCCTTTATAATAAAACAGTAATCATAAGTATAGCACTTCCCATGAGTTCGTGAGTTGTGCCAGCAAATTATCAAACCTGAGGTGGTAGTGGGAATCAGCAGGTCAGAAGTGAGGGAGACTGGGAACCCCTGAACTTGCAGCTAGTATTCTGAGAGTGGTAGAAGGGGCTCCCAAATTTGTAGCCAGCAGTTCAGAAGCAAGAGAAGTCCCGGAGGCTGTCAGGCTTACAATTGGCAGCTGAAGTCTTCAGCCAACTTGACTGGCAGTTTGAAGGACACTGTGCTTTTAACTTGTGAGATCTGACCTAGCTCTGGGTGGCTAGAGCCAGAGACAGAAGTGCTGTATGGGCAGCTGTTGTCAGAATTGGTAGAATTTATTTGGTATTTATCCACTCAGATACATAAGGTTTTTGTTGGCTAATTTTCTGAAGTAAATCATCAGGCTTTTCTTCCTAGTCTGTCTTAGTCTGGAAACTCCATTGAAACCTGTCTACCATTGGTGACTCTACTGGTATTTGAAATACTAGTGGCATAGCTTCCAGCATCATAGCAACATGAAAGCCACCACAGTATGACAAGATGACAGATGGGTATTGGATATTCTAGATTCAAATCCCTTATCAGATAAATGGTTTGCAAAATTTTCTCTAATTCTCTGGGTTGTTTTTTCATTTTCTTGATGATTTCCTTTTAAGTGCATAAATTGATAATTTTGATGAAATCCAGTTTGTCTATTTTTCCCCCTGTGGTTGATTGTACTTTTTGCATCATATCCAGAAAACAGTTGCCAAATCTAAGGTCACAAAGATTTACCACTTTTAGCTAAAATTAAAGTTTTGGTTAACCTGAGAACATTTAGGTCTTTGATCCATTTTGAGTTAATTTTTGTATACGGTGTAAGGTAGGACTCCAACTTCATTTTTTTGCATGTGGATATCCAGTTGTCCCAGCACCATTTATTGAAAACATCATTCTTTTCCTTTTAAATTGTTTTGATACCCTTGTTTCAGTACAGTGAATTACTATTATATGGCCCTTCTAGCCATGGTCTTGTAACTTCCATGAAATAATTGGTGGGACTATGCAGATAAGGTATTTGTGGCCCATCAAGGGAATTAGACAGTTTTCTAATGCAAATAAGGTTCATGGAACACTTGCAGGGGTGGAACTATGCAAATAAGGTGCATGGAACCCTTGTAGGGGATTGGTCAGTTTTGCCATCCCACTAGGCTTAATAGGAGCCAATCCCAGAGGCTGAAGGGGGACCGCACTACCATCAAGAAGAAGATCCAGGAGCAGAGTGCATCCTTTGGACTCAGGGTCCCTGCGCTAAGAACCCAGGAGACAGAACTGTAACACTGAAGATAGCAGCAACACAGGACTGGCAGACTAGGCTCACCGACCTACAGAGCAAGAGAGCTGAGTGCCTTCAGCAGGGGGCTTCCTGGTGAAATGGGGTACCTCTGGCACTTATCTCAGAGCTAAGGACCTTTGTAACACTTGCCCGAGCAGGGCAGAGGTCAGGCGCAAGTGGGGGCAGATGCCAGGCTGGAGCGGAGGCAAGAGGCCAGGCCGAGAATGCAGAGACCAGGCCGAGAGGAAGGCCCAGCGGCAGTAGCTGAGAAGAAGCTGTCCAGATTGAAGAATTGTATCCTGAGTTGATCCTGTTATCTCCAAATTGATCCTGATCCCGAATTGTAACCTGTTACTTTCCTAATAAACCCCATAATCGTGAGTATGATCTGTGACTTCTGTGTGGCCATTGCAATGAATTATCGAACCCAGCAGAGAAGTAGAGAGCGACATGAGAGGACAGCTGGTGTCAGAACTGGTATAAAAGTTGGAGAGTGGAGGTATGTCAGACCTCCACCTCATAGGAATCAGCTTTGGACTGATGCTGATGGTGATTCTCTCTCTTCCCCCATAAGTTAGGGGAGGTCTGATGTCCCACCATTTTCACACTTGTCAAAAATTAACCATAAATGTGAGAGTTTATTTCTGAATTCTCAATTATATTCCATTGATCTGTGTCTGTGTTTCTGCCAGTAACACACTGTCTTGAAAACAGAGCCTATCTTAATTGTCCTTTTAAAGGAAGAATTGACTGACTCAGTGAATTAGTGGGTGCAATATGAATGGCAGAATATTTTTTTCTTTTTTAAGTGATCTTTTCTGAAATACGACAAATATACAAAAGAATGCACAAAACATATGTATGCACCTTGTTGAATTTTCACAACTCATTCCTGTATAATCAGCACACAGAGTAAAAAAACTAAAAAACAGAACACTATTGCACCACAAAAGGGATGGCAAGATATTTTTCATGAGATTTATTTTTTCCTTCATAATGTAAAAAATGGGTGTTTAGTCGTATATGTCAAAAATTATTAAAAATATGCTATATGCTTGTATGCTATATGTCAAAAATTATTAAAAATAAATTCCTAAATATCTTGTTCCCACCCCCTAATCCTGATCCATCACATTGAATAGGAATGTGTTTTTACAGGGATCAGTGTCATTCAAGGATGTAACTGTAGACTTCACCAGGGAAGAATGGCAACAATTGGATCTTGCTCAGAAAAGCTTGTACAGGGATGTGATGCTGGAAAACTACTTCAACTTGGTCTCAGTGGGTAAGCACAGCTTTGCTGGGTATAATTTTAAGGCTGTACCTAATCGATTGTTTTGTTTTTTCCTCAATGGAATTTCTGCAATCTATGCGATTTCTGAGGTATGTGGGACTTCAAAAGACTGCAGGACATCTGAAGTTGTGAAATGGTTTTGTCCTTATTTTGTCCCATATTCTTAAATAATCTCTTTAGGGTATTACAAATATAACTGTTCCTCATCAACTTTTCTGAAAATTAAATGAAATATTTCATTGTATGGCCTCTGAAACCAAGCTCTCTCATTTCCTGTTAATAGGGTATCAGATTTCCAAGCCAGAAGTTATCTTCAACTTGGAGCAAGGAGAAGAGCCATATATGTTAGATGATGGTGAAATCTCAAGGAGGAGCTGTCAAGGTAAGTAGGGAACCAAGAGACAGTGTGACTAAAATGCAGTTGTACTGGGAGAGGCTAATAACGTTGAAGTGCTATTAATATAACTTTTCTTTGCATTCTAAACTTGTAGAACTGCTTGAATAAAGTTGATATTGGTCCCTCAGATATCTGAATGCCATTCCCACTTAAGGACTTTCCATATCAGTTTGTCTTCTTCTTTGCTTGACGTTTTTAGGAGGGGATGTGTCACAATTACTGGTAGTTTGGGTGATAACTTTCCATATCAGTTTGTCTTCTTCTTTGCTTGACTTTTTTAGGAGGGGATGTGCTACAATTACTGGTAGTTTGGGCGATAACCCACTCTACATCATCTAGGATCCTGCTTTCTTGCTTTTTCTCCCTTTCTCTAGTATTTTATTCTTTCTACCATCACCAAAGTCTTAGCTCCTTTTCTTATACATTCAGATATTCATAGATATGCCTTCTTTCAAAATTACTGGAATCATACTCATACTGGTTCCTTTTCATTTTCTTTCTTTTCTCTTAGTACTTCCGAATTGTCTAGAGGTGGCCTGTTATATAGTCTCCCAAACTTCCATCTCTCCATTACTCTCCTCCAACTGTTGACTTTGAGGGTTCTATTACCTACATTTGGGGACAGCTTTTTGCTGAATTTGACATTTTCTTCCTACTTGTCTAATGCAACAGTATTGACTTGGTCTTTCTAATTTATTTATTTTGACATTTTTAAAAAAAGCTTTTGTACCTCATGCACAAAAGATAGCTTTCAGTTTCTAGCACAATATCATCATGTGTTTAAGGCCCTTTCTTATTTTATTTATTTATTCCTCTTTATCACCACTCACTATACCCATTTTTATCATTCCAGTAGGCAACTGCTCTAATGTATGTGACATGTTTGCTATCTGTCTTTGAATTTGTGGGGTATTTTGTAAAATCTAAACTGTTGGTATTTTTAATTCATAGAAGTAGTACTGAGTTATATATCCTATTCAGTTTTTTTTTTCATTCAGTGCTAAATTGGTTCACGTTGCAGTATGTTTGTCTAGTTCATTGCTTTTAACTGCTGCATAACATTCCATAGTGTGAATATATATCACATCTTACTTGTCCAGCATCCCAGCTACTTACAAACAGTGCTGCAATAAATTTCTTCATGAATTATTTTCTAGATTGGCTATATTATTCTATAACCCTTTCAACATTCCACAAAGATATTGGTTTCCCCACATCCGTATCAAGACCTAGAATTATCCAAATTTTTAATAATTTGGCTAACATGATGGGTTTTAATTACTAATTATTATTTTGATTTGTATTTTCTAATAATAAAATATTTTGAACATTGTGATGGTTAAGATTATGTGTCAACTTGGGCTAGGCCATGATTCTCAGTGGTTTGACAGATATTGTGTAATCATCTTCCATTTCGTGATCTGATGTGAGCAGCCGATCCGTTGAAAAGCCAATCAGTTGAAAGCCAATCAGTTTCCTTGTGGGTGTGGCCTGCATTCAATATATATGGATGTTCTGGCAAAGCTCTTGCCGGATCCTCTGTCAGACTCGTCATGCTCTGAATCTTAGTTCCTGGGATGTGAGCCAGCAGCCTTCCACCTGACCTGCAGATCTTGGGATTTGCCAGCCCCTGGAACTCCGTAAGCCAGCAGCCTTCCACCTGATCAGCTGATTTTGGGTTCGTCAGCCCCTGCAACCACATGAATCAGGAAAAGCCTCTAGCCTGATGCCTGACCTGTGGATTTGGGACTTGCCAGCCTCCACAACCGTGTGAGCCATTTCCTTGAAAGAAATCTCTATGTATTTATACATATATATGCATTACTGGTTTTGTTCCACTAGAGAACTCAGACTAAGACATGGTACCAGGAGTGGTTCTAGAGGAACAAAATCTTAAGGATGAGTTTTCTGAACTGGTTCGCAAGTCTGGCGAGGCTTAAATACACTGATGATTCTAATTCCAGTAAGGAAGAGGGCACAGCTAAGTCATGGCATGAGGTGGCAGTAGAAATACATAAAATATCACCAACATTGGATCAAATGTTTGGGAAACAAGGCTCTGGGTGACTGTGTATTTGACACCTTTTAGCATTTCTGTCAAACTGAGAAATACAAGGAGGCTGGTTGGCTGATCTTGCTTTCGCTAGACAAAGTGGTAAAGGAAAGAGATGACCTCAGGGCTTCAGAGTCACAACTCAGACACTGCATGAAAGACCTGAAAGTTGCCACTTGTGCCCTGAAAAAAAAGCCTCGTTTTTTATAGTAAGAGTTGATATTGCCAAAAACCAATCCCAGAGTCTTATCATAAGAGTGGCTGAATTACAACACCAATTATATTCCCAATCTTGAATAGTGTCTGAAGTTGAAGTAAGGGCATTGATTGGAAAAGAATGGGATTCTGAAACTTGGGATATATGGGCAGATAATCAGGAAACTGGGGACACTGAGCCCCTAAATTCCTTTAAATCACTCCTAACAACAGAACAAGCCCTCTCACTCCCATCTGAAGAGATTATTCTCTTTGTCTGCTAAGCCACCCTCCCCAGTAAAACCATATCCCTTCCATCCCCACCTGATGAGATTAACCCAGCTGTGTCTGAAGAGCCTTTGTCTGAGATATCATCTAGGGAGGTATCTGGGGCATTGCCTGGGGCATCACCTGAGGCAGATGCCTTACAAGACATTGCTGAATGCCCCAAGGCCCCACTCCGACTACCCATTTTTGCTTGTAGACCTATAACTAGACTTAGATCCCAGCAAACCCTAAGAGGTAAAGTATAAAGTGTGAGGTATGCTACACTCCAAAAGAACTGCTTGAGTTTTCTAATATATATAAACAGAAACCTGGGGAATATGTGTGGGAATGGCTATTAAAGGTGTGGGATAATGGTGCAAATAACATAAAGATGGATCAGTCTGAGTTTATTGCTATGGGCCCACTAAGCACGGATTGTTCATTCAGCGTTTCGGCTTGAGAGGTTAGAAAAGGATCTAAGAGTTTATTTGGTTGATTTACTGAAACATGGATGAAGGGTGGCCTACACTAAATCAGTTGAAATGGCAGGTGTTCCTTGGTATACTGTAGAAAAAGGCATCCAAAGGCTTAGGGATAGTGGCATGTTAGCGTGAAATATCAAGTTGCACCCACAGACCAATCCATGGAGTGCCCAGAGAACATACCTCCACCACAGTGGTAAGGAACAAATTTGTGAAGGGAGTGTCCGAATTCTTGAAGACTACTGTGATTGGTATTGTATGTAAATCAGATTTAACGGTGGGAACTGCCCTAACTGAATTAAGATGCCTAACTACAGTGGGGAAGCTCTGGTGGTGTAGTGGTTAAGAGTTCAGCTGCTAACAGGTCGGCAGTTCAAATCCTCCAGGCGCTCCTCAGAAACCTTATGGGGCAGTTCTACTCTGTCCTATAGGGTTGCTATGAGTCAGTATCGACTCGATGGCAATGGGTTTCTTTTTTTTTAACTACAGTGGGGCTGATCGGACCTGGTGGTGGTAGGGGTCAAGGCGGCACTTAATCACCAAAGACAAGGTGGGCATGGTTACCGTGATGGACAGCGGAGTCCAAGCAGTAATCAGAATAGCCTGACTAGTATGGACTTACAGTGTTGGCTACATTGTCCTGGTGTCTCTAGGAGTAAAATAGTGTGAAATCTACTAAATATTTACTTGATCTGTACAAGCGGAAGAATTCTAAGTCAAGTGAATGGCAGTCTAACTCTAATCACCAGAATAGAGAGTCACAGCCCCTCAATCAATTCTCAGACTTGAACCAGTTTACAGACCCACAACCGCTTGAATTAAGGGGAGAATAGGTCCCATTGAGGAAGGACTCCACTACACTGTCAAAAATTTATACTGTTAATCTTTCTCCCAGCCTTCCCAAAGGGGTCTCTGGCCTTTTATGAGAGCAACTATTCATTGGGGAAAATGAAATAATCAGACTTTTTGGGGATTACTGGACACTGGCTCTGAACTGACACCAATTCCAGGAGACCCAAAATGCCACTGTGGCCCACCAGCCACAGTGGCGCCATATGGCGGCCAGGTTATTAATGCAGTCTTAGCTCATGTACATCTCACATTGGTCCAGTGGGTCCCCGAATCCATTCTGTAGTTCCAGAATGCATTAAGTGGAATAGACATACTCTGCAACTGGCAGAATCCCCACATTGGATTTCTGACATACAGAGTAAGAGCTATTATGGTAGGAAAAGCCAAGTGGAAGCCATTAGAACTGCTCCTACCTAGGAAAATAGTAAACCAAAAGCAATACTGCATTCCTGGAGGGATTGCAGAGATTACTACCACCATCAAGGACTTGAAGGATGCAGGGGTGGTGATTCCCACCACGTCCCCATTCATCTTACCTATTTGACCTGTGCAAAAAAAGATGGATACTGGAGAATGACAGTGGATTACTGAAAACTTAACCAGGTGGTGACTTCAGTTGCAGCTGCCATTCCAGATGTGGTTTCATTGCTTGAGCAATAAATACATTTCCTAGTACCTGGTATGCAGCTATTGATCTGGCTAATGCCTTTTTCTCTGTACCTGTTTCAAAGGACCGTCATAAGCAGTTTGCCTTTAGCTGGCAAGGCTAGCAATACCCCTTCACTGTCCTACCTCAGGGGTATATCAACTCTCCATCCCTATGTCATAATTTAGTCTGCAGGGAGCTTGATCGCCTTTCCCTTCCACAACACGTCACACTGGTCCATTACATTGATGATATTATGCTGATTGGACCTAGTAAGGAAGAAATATCAATGACTGTAGACCTGTTGGTAAGACAAACACCTCATCATGTAAGTTGTATTAGAATCTGACTTCATTTTTGATATTTGGCTGCTGACATCTTCTAAGCCTTGTCCCTTCTTCTACTTCTGCCCCACATGTGGGCAAGCTGAAAAGAAAGCCTGGGTGCACCATCACTTAGCATGGTTTGAAGTTCTGACACATAATAAATT